ACAGCTCATAAAGGAATTTACAGGGCAGGATTCCAACACTAGTGAGCAGAGGATTCATGTGGCTTCTCCCAGCCCAGTCTTTCTCATTGCTAACTCTTGACCAGAGCTGTCACCTGTGGAAAGGAGTTCATCTATTCCCATGGAGAAAACCACCTAACCTGCCCACCTGATGCTAGATCCCCTGCTGGCCAGGTCCCCAATTTATATGTTACCCTTCAAAAGTTGCTTATGCTTATGTTAGCAACAAAATCAAATAGCTGTAACTTTCCCAGTCCTGAGCCTCATTTCCTTAAGAAAGATTCTAATCAGAAATACAATGCAGTAAATTACATCTTCTTTCAGCAATTTAGTTTTCAGCCTTGTTTTTCAACCCAACTTTTGTGCTTGAGGTTAATGTTTTTGCCTGAGGTGTTGAATGAATATTGGAAATTTGACAAAGGAAGACAAAAGACAACAAATAAGGGAATAGGAGAATGGGACCAAGAGTTTATTGAAGACTGGAAATAAGTTGACTATGCTATGAAAATAGCAAATATGGAATAAATTAGACCTTTTGAATCAAAACTGTCTAACAAGCAGCTTGTTAGTTTAAGTAAGGCTCTCAGTAAAGTGTAGTCTGACTTGCATTTCCCATGATTCCCTGTTCTTCAGGCCAAGCTCCAAACACCAAGAGGATTCAGCATTTAAGTAAAGGGAGAAGCAATTCCTTTGGGGTTGTTGCTTTAGAATAATGACAGCAAGTAGACAGTTTGGCAGCAGCCTGTATTCTCCAGAGAACAGGAAAAGAGACACTTGTGAGGGGTGATTCCCCCCCATACATGTTTTTAAAGTCACATTGGGCATGTCCATCTAAGTTCAAGTTCACGTGCTGTAACCCACAACAGCAGGGAGAGTTTCTTCTTTATAAAGCTTCCAGGAAAGCAAAGCATCTCACCCATGTCTGAATCAAAGAAGGAAAACCCCAGGCAAAGATGGAATAGCATTCAGAGTATGCGAGCATACACACACCAACAAAATAGACAGTCACACTGAGCACTTACCTGCAATATACATATGCAGGGCCCCCTCCATGACAGCCCAGACAGTAGCTTCTATCATCTGATTTGAAAAGTCCAGTAGAGTCCTGTGTCCTTGAAGAATTCAGACTCATGTTGAGGCTAGTTTGATGTGGCAAAACTTTAAGAGCTCAAGATGTTTCCCCAAGAGAGATGAAGGACATGCCAAGTATGGCTGCCTCATTGAGATTACAATTTAAAGGATACAGAGACTCTCTGGGAGAGGTGACAGGGATGTGCCACAATGGTAATGATGAATAGCACAGAAAGCATGATTGTGGTACTACCAAAGCCAGGCCCCTCACCATGTACCCCTCAGTACTTCAGCAAGGATCTAACCTAGGAAAAAGATGAATTATACAAGCTGCCTTGGATATGAGAAGCATAATCTGAACAGAATATATAAATGAGGTTGTTATATTTTAGCGCCTGTGTGAATCAGGAAAAATAAAGCATATTCACAATTGTCAAGAAAATTGAGTTCAGAAGCTGGGAGTTCACAAAATGGCAGTTGAGCTGAATAAGTGGCACAATACACCATTCTTGCCAAGAATATATATGAAGGTTCTCTGGTGGTCATCTGAGGCTGAAGTAGCCTGGGGAAGCAAGTGAACTCAAGCTTTCTGTTTGAAATGGAGAGTTTGCCTGAGAAGAATTTTCCCCAGGTTTCTACATGCAGTGACAATCAAGATTACTGCAAATGTAAAAAGAATAGTTTAATACTGTCCCAAAATTTAGATAAATTACACTGACGCAGGATGACTGATGTTGATCAAAGATTGTGGTAAGTACTAGTAATCCAGAAATAAAGGGAGCTAAGAGTTATTCTTGTGAAAAATGGATGACATGGAGTATGTAAATAATGGGAGCAAATGCAGCAAGATACAGAGAATCTTAAAACATTTAAAATCTAGTACATTACAAAGAGAGTTCAATGCTGATAAATGTAAAATAATAAGTTTTATGGGGCTTTATCATATGCTGTGAGTTGATGTGGATCATAATATATGGGGAATAAAAAAGTAGGGGAGTTAAAAGATAAGTCTGCACATTATTTATGACTGATGAAGAGAGAAATGAATGAGAAGAAGAACAGGTAGACAATGTCTTGAATAATGATGACTTTGATGAGTTGTTATCACACAAATCTGTGTGCTTCATAAAATACGATGAATACTAAAGAGCAAAAGAGTCTAAAGACAAGTCTACTCAGAATGAGATACTGAATGAAGGGAGAAAGGAATACAAGAGAAATGCACAGACTAATGATGACTTTTATGAGACTTTCACTCACCAGCCTGGTCCTTCATAAATATAAGCTGTATAGGAAATAAAAGAGCAGCAAAGAAAAGAGGTCTGTATCTGTCATAAAATATGAGCAAATAATGCCAACTAGGCTTGACAAAATAAAAAAATAAATAATTGAGCCTAATACAGCTGTGGGAAGACACAATGTCTAGATTAATGTGAACAAATAAAATGAGCAAGGGTAGAATTATCTTGCCAATAGGGAATCAGCTACTACCTAGGTATGCATTATTGTTGCAAAGGCCACCTTGTTAACTGGTAGAGCCTTGGCAAGTTCACAATTACGTCCCACTACACTCCCCAAAAAACTACGTCCCACCACACCCCCCAAAAAGCCATCAGCACTTAGGGCTCAGGAAACAATGTTTAACAGATTTTCAACTGGTTTGGCCTCATTAACATACAGTCTCTTCTCAGCCCCTCTGGCTCCAATTCCTATATACTTTGCAGGAGGTTTTCTCAGCTTGTTTATACTTAATTCATACCCAACTTGTTAAATTTTGCTTTGTAAAATGTTACTGTCTACTAGTATAACTAGAATCCTCCTTTTATTTTCATTTCTTGTTACATAGAACTTAGAAATGAGACCAGATCTCTCAGGATTAGTTCAAAATCCAGAATTCAATGACTTTCAACTGTCTTCTCTATTAGAACAAATGGTATTTCAAGATCTTCCCAAAAGACACTGGGGGAATCAGACAAGCCAAAGCAAGTGTCAATATGCCATTACCATGCCATTCAGAACCATGACATAAAGAATTCATTAAATGGACAGCTCGTTGGACAGAAACCCACTGATCTACATCAGAACTAGGAATTTGGGTCTACGAGCTCAATATACAAAAACACTTATAGCAACAATTATACTAGCTTACCCTGTGTAATACTTAATGGTGTGTAGTTTGTGTTGTGGGAAGGCCTTAGGTAATCAGGATAAATCCTATACATATAACATATCCAATTCCTTTGATTGCAATAAACTTTACTAGTGAAGTTTATTAGCTATAGCATATAAAACAAGTTTTGGCTGGTATTTCAGAGATTTTTTTTTCTCTCACGCAAATGATCTATGTGGCCATGAGTCTTTAGATACATGGCCTTGAATTGCTGACTCTGTTCAAATAATGTATAATGCCAGGATGAAATTATGGTTACTTTGGAAAGCCATATTTGCCCAAATAACATGTGCCCTTTTTTACTTGATCTTGGCAGGAAAAGGAGAGGGAGAGAGAGAGGGAGGGGGAGAGAGAGAGAGAGAGAGAGAGAGAGAGAGAGAGAGAGAGAGAGAGAAATCAGCTCCTCCTATAAGAATCCCAACAGCAGATGGAACTCACAGCAACCCAGGCACATGCCCCGACCTTGAATCGAACCCACCATCCCCAGGTCTATGGGACAAGGCTCCAATCCACTGAGCCACACTGGTCAGGGCAACATGGCTCCTTTTAACCCAAGATTTAGCTTCCCTGGATACCCTGTATCCCACTTGGTGAAAAATCTGATATCGATGCCAGGAAAAACCATTGACCTTGCACAGACTTTCTTAACCCTACCAGCTCCAGCTAGAAAAATGTACATTCTAGTGCTCAGCTGCCAAAACTAGGATTGAACTCCAGTGAAAAACTCCCTGCCATCCCCTGCTATCCCCCAATAACAGTGGAGCAGGGAAAAATCTTTGTTGCGATTTGCCCCTTGGCTCTCCTAACTACCAAGATACTGAAATTTGTTACAACTTGTTGGCAAAGCTAGAGCCAAAAGTATACTTGGTTTAGTGGACTGTGCCTTTTGGAAACAGACCTGGTTTAAGAATTAGTTTAATGGAATCCCATTCTTGGGTAAGTATGAAACACATTTGTTTAAAGGAAACCTTCCTGAAATATTTTATGTCAATTAGGCAAGAGAAATAGGGTACTATAGTCAGAGACCATGTCTCTTTTGCAGACTTTAACTCTTAAAATTCACCCAACTAAGTCTGCTTAGTTATTGTAGAAAATTGTTATTCCAGTAAAGCTAATTGGCAATATGTACCAAGAGGCTTAAAAATGTTCACACCTGTGTATGTAAATGCATAGAAAATGCATATAACAAAGTGATACTGCCGATTACTTCTGGGGAGAAGAGCAGGAACTAAGATGGAAGTGGTCAGCAGGGATTTCAGTCATATCTACAATGTATTATATATTAAATAATATAATTAGTTTTAATAACAGAAAAATATCCTCCCACAGCTAAGACTGTCTCCCAAGGAAATAATAAAAAATTCAATGCAGAAAAAATCAAAAAACAACAAAATGTCCTAAAATAGGAAATGGCTTAAACAAGTTAAGGAATATTAATTTAAGGCTATTTTATATAATAACAAAAAGCTATATTAGGTAATTTCTTATTACATTAAACAGTGTTAATAATATACTATTAACTTAAAAATATCTGTATACAGAACTATACTGAGCATAATCCCAATTTTGGTGGGTGAAAATGATACGCACACCCTCCCCAACATGTTATTAGTAGTTACTACTGGTTGGTGAAATTGTTTTCTTTGTTATACTTGACTGTGTTTTCCAAAGTTTCTCCAACTTGGCTTCTAGACTCTGGTTTCAACATGCTTTCATATTTGTCTTTGATTTTGTGTTACAGGCGTGCTTGTGTGATTCGAGGCCAAGTGGTGGCGGTAGATGGAACCCCCCTAGTAGGGGTGAATGTTAGTTTCTTGCACCACAGTGATTATGGGTTTACCATCAGCCGGCAAGATGGAAGGTAGGTCAATATTGCTTCTGATCATTGATGGGGGCCAAATACTGACTTCTAAACATGAGTGAAACCAGGCCTCAGGGGATGTAATGCTTGTAAGCCCATCTTTCTTCTGGCTGTATCTTGAAAAGTCCTTGGTGATATTTATCTCCTCTATTCCCCACCTAAATCAAACCAAATTTCTCTTCTAACCCTGTACTCATACTCTCAAATCTTCTTGAAACCCTGATCATGTGAAAAGTTTTCTAGCCTCCATCTAATTCCATTTATAAAGCCAGCTTCAACATTCAGTGAGGTGATGCAGGTAGTAAAGAGGGAGCCATGGACCACACAGGCTGTTCTTCTGTGACAGCCTCAAAATATTTTAGAAATAAATGTGTCCAAAATGTTTCTCTCAAAAGTATAGAATTCAACGACATTAAGACTTTTGTAAAAATGTGTCCTTCCTAGACTGCTTATTTTACTAGTGTCTGAAACTGGTTGACAAGCACGGTCAGCCTAACCAATTGCCTTTGGTGTCTATATAACCATAGTGATTTAACCTTAAGCTCCAACCACAAAGCTGCTCTCTAAGGGCTTCTCAAGGTTCTCTGAGACTTGGGAAGCACAACCACTAGGGGAAATCTTTTCTTCCTTGAAATGGATTTGCTCACAGAAACATTTTTGTTGCTGTTGTTTAGACAGACATTTATTAGAACAGTTGAGCCAATAGAACCATGCATCCAAAAGTATCTATTTATGATGCTCAGGAACATTGTAATAATGACTTTGAGGTACCCTAAGTCTCCAGGTGGCTACCCTTAGAATGTTATACTCATGACAAGCCACTTCAGTACTCACATAAACAGGCCAGTTGGCTTGGAGCTTTATTACAGTGTGAGAAACTATCTCATTTCAAGAACTTACGATCAATTCCAAACCACTCTGGAGTTGTTAATCGTTCAACTTCGGCTAACTGAATTTAGTTTTCAACTGCTTGTCAAGAAAATGCTTATAAAAATTAGTTAAAGAAGATAATAAGGAAGAGTTTTAACCTATATAAGAAAACAACTAATCATATCGATTTTTATATAAATTATAATATTATTAACTAGCCATCTATTCATTGTAACAAGTTCAGCAGAGTTACTCTGGATGCAGGTAGTCTGAAAAAAAAATATATATATATATATATATATATATATATATATATATATATATTTAAAGCCTAAGCAACTGTTAAGGTAGAACAACTAGAATGCACCAGAATGACCACTTCCTATGATGTGCACTGACCACCAGGAGGAAGACGCTTAATGCAGAGCTGCCCCCTGGTGGTCAGTGTGCTCCCACAGGAGGAGCACTGCTCAGTCAGAAGCCGGGCTCACTGCTGGCAAGCACAGCGGCAGTGGTGGGAGCCTCTCCCACCTCCATGGCAGCGTTAAGAAGCAGCGAACTAAGTGGTAAGGAGCAGCGAGCAGGCAAGTGTTAAGGAGCGAGGGGTCCCGGGCTGCGAGAGGGCACAGACCAGGCTGAGGGACCCCCCCCCATGCACTAATTTTGTGCACTGGGCCTCCAGCATATATATAAAAGGCTAATATGCTAAGGGTCCCACCATCCCACCGGTCACTATGATGCACACTGGCCACCAGGGGGCAGACGCTCAATGCAGGAGCTGCCAAGCTGCAGTAACTTGGCAGCGAGCTTCTCAGGTGACACACCCTGAAACCAGAGAGGGGGGAGCCTGATTCCTTCCTCGCGGGGCCTCACAATTCCACCTTTGGCCGTGGGTTATGTTATTGCTGGGGCACTGTCAGTCCCAAATCTGGTTTACTGCACACTTGCGTTTGCTTTCCACACCCTGTATGACAGCAACTTTGCAGTGTGCCCTCTTGCACTCCAGGGCCCCTCGGGGGATGTTGGAGAGCCAATTTCACCTGATCCCCACAGGCCAGGCTGAGGGACCCCACTTTCCGGAGGGACCCCGCTCACTCCACAGACGCCGGGAAGGGACCACAGGAGGTTGGCTCCAGGCGTGTACAGCCCTTCACGCCCAGTCCCACCCCACCGGCCACCTTCTAATTAATTTCCTTTCAATGTCCATGAATCCATGCACTGGGTCACTAGTGTGTGTGTGTGTGTGTGTGTGTGTGTGTGTGTGTGTGTGTGTGTATAATGTGTGTATACACACACACACACACACACATGCTATACACACTCACACATATATATTGCTTATGTCTGTATATATAAACAATACAAACTGAATTTCCTTTCATATATTCCATAATTGGCTCATTAGTAATTCAAATGGATCCTTCTCCCAATTAGATTGAATGATGGAATTTCACTAGTTCACTCACCAGTAGCTGGTACACAAAACTGACCTCTCCCTCACCAGTATGTTCCAGAAAATGAGAAATGGATTATTGCTTTAAAAAGACTATGCCCTCGGGGACATTTGACTGCTCATGGAGAACTGAGGGGCCCTCAGTTTTTTTTGGCTTGTGTACAAAGTTTTCAGTGAATTGTTTGATATTCTCACAAGAGAACATAAAAGAAACTTGATGTCTAAAAAGCCTAACAATTTGTTCCAATTTATAGAAAAATATTAAAGAGGGACATTTTTTGTGTTTTTAGTTTTAAATAAAATGCCAAGACCCTCTTCCCTGAGCTCACTGTAAGTTTATGTAGATGACAGATACTAGCCAGAGTCCCCTCTGGCTATAACTCTTCCCTCAGGCTCCACAAAGGGTGTCAGCATTCAAAATATGTTTCCCAAATGCCAACCAGACTGTCCTGTTGTCATCTCTTGGACATAAAGTGACAATCTGATGAGAGTTTCCATTTATATGTCTCTGCTTATTGCTACCTCAGATCAAGTAAGTACATTTCAGAAGCAGCATATCATAAGGAAGCTAGACCTGAGGGCAAAAAGGATTATAGAAAGGCTGAGATTAGCATTTAGATACTTATTAGGTCAGAGTGTGACATGCAAGATAAGATCAGATATGCAAGACCCTCTGTCTCCAATTCTCAGTCCCACTGGTCTGTTTCTGTGCCTGTAGTTCCCACCAAAAAGATCACTTCTTTTGATTAAGCTATTGACTCTCTCAAAAACCCCGTTAAATGTAAATATGTTATGTGGGATTTGGAAATAATTACCCCCATCATCATCCATTTGCACCAATTAATTAACAACTTTCCCTAGAGAAACAGAATAAGTCTAGATCATGGGACCAAAGTGATGTATAAAAAGCAGAGGGCAGCATGGGAGTGGACACATGGCCCTCTAAACGTAAGACTAGATAATGCAGATTGGGAGGCACCGAAGTATCAGAAAAGTAAAAAAGGCAATTCTGAAAGAGAAACAAATATATATGAGTATCAACTCTATGCCAGGCGTTTACATGAATGTCATTGTTTCATCCTCACAACAACTGTATGAGCTAGAAATCATTATTATCATCCTCCCCACTTGCAGATGAGAAGACTTATCCAAATTAACACAGCTAATAAGGTAGAGCCCAAAAGTTGAACCCAAGTAATCTGGCTCTTATCTTCTATGACTTACCACCTTCAACTTAGAGAGCAGGTGCTCAGTTAAGTGTTGAAGAAAACTATAAATATTTTAGCTAGTGACAAGCCAAGTAGGTGATTCTTGAGAAGCACTAAAGGTCTCAAAAACTTTGTTTGGAATACTTCATAAGATGAAGAGAGGGTTCCCTCTGATTCTCCTATATATGCTTGACTCTTGACTTTTTAAAAATATTTCTTAATTGATTTTTAGAGAGAATGAAAGGGAGAGGGAGAGAGAGAAAGAGAGAAATATTGATTGGCTAGCCCTCAACCCAGGCATGTGCTCTAACTGGTAAACTGGCAGCCTTTCAGTGCATGGACCAGCCAGTGTCCAAATGACTGAGCCACACTGGCCAGGGCTTAATTATTGTCTTTATGCCAGTTACTCATTTACAGTAGTAGCTGAGTGATAGATCATGTTAGCCCACTTTACTAATGAGGAAACTGACACTCATGGATGTTAAATAACTAGCCCAAAGACACAAAGTTAACATGGCAGAACTGGGATTTGAACCCAGGTGCAGATGAAGCCAAAATCACATTCTTCCTGAAAAACAAGAAGCTTGCCCTGTCTGCTTAATCTTTCTAGAAGTAGGGAATAATTCCCAGGGACATATGTTCTTGCTTAGATAGTTTATTTTGTATTTTTGTTGTTTCTGCTTGTGTTTGTTTTCAAATAAATAAGCACTTCAGTTTAAAAGAGTCAAGAACTAAGATTTGGGTGAAGCAAATAAACTTGCCCAAGGGCATAGAGTTAAATCAATGTAGAATGTGAACTAGAGGAAAGGTCTCTTAGCAAGTTATGTTGGATTTTCCCCACTATACTTGCCTTAAACTACTCCTGTATTATCATAAATTCAACCTCTCTGTCTTAAACCATAACCATAAGCGGTTTGGGTTTTCTTTTTTTAGTTCAAACCTAGATTATTTTCTATAGCTAATGCAGTTCTTCAAATCCTCTTTTTGGAAACTACCTTAATATTACAGCTACTTCACTGGAAAGGAACAATAAACTATACAGTATTACTCATCCTTTGTTACTGTCCATTTATCTTTATCTGGAAGATTTCTGCAACAAGATACAATTAGTAATGCTATAATAAATACAATAAATGTCCTATGAAGGGAGTGGTGAGCTCTCCATAATTAAGTCTGATTACCTATCAGGGCATTTTATCATTGAAAAGGTGTTTTACAGAAAGATCGTTTTTGGATAGAGGGAATTATTACATCTCTCGTGTGGATTCAAGTTGCTTTGAATATTAAGGAGCATCATATTGCCCTTTATCCATTTTTTAAGATATAATGGTAAAAATTATCATTATCTTACTTTTACATAGTATTTTATGCTTTTTGGATGCTTTCAAGCACATTATCATTATACTTTAAAGGGGAGTAAGGAAGAACCACATAGTACAGAATAAACTGAAACTTGAATCTGTTATGCTCCAATGCAAGAGTCATCTAAGAGATGCACTTGCAGATGAGGTGGTCTTGCTTTGTCAGAGATATGGAGGGAGTTGTCAGTGGAGATGGACAGGATCCATTACAGGCTTCCTTACAAAAGACCAAGAGGCTTTCTAAAAGGAAGCAGGAATCCTAAATACAGACTTCAAGTAGAATCAGGAGCCAGTGGGGATAGTCATATTTTCAGGGTACAAGTATGGTATTGTTCAAGCAAATTTCACTGAACAATTTTCCTCTTCTGCCTTCTTTCTCCAAATACCAACTCAAAGACACCATCAGGTTTCTGACACTATGTTTGTGATCCTGAACAAGATATTTAACCTTTTGCCTCCTACTTTTCTTGATTTTTTTTTTTGAGGATGAATAATACATTAGATGCTGCTGAATGTGAAATGGTCATCTTTCAGTTATCTCTAGCACAAAGGGTAGCAGTGATATCACATTTAACTTTGCAGAAATGAATGCAGTAGTTTTGTTTAAGATAGTATTAAATTGACTTACAAATTCAGGGTGAATATCAACTGGTGATAAGAAATTTTTTCTCAGAAGTCAACTGGATAGTGAAAAGAAGTCATCCATGGAATGAATACTGAGCTAGAGGGAACTTATAACAGAGAATATGAATGGATATATTGAGTTCCAAAAAAGGAAAGTACACTAAAATTACCTATTTTTAAACTTTATTTTGGTTGTTCATTTGCTTAAAACTGTCTTATAATTTTCCATCTCAGCTTTGACCTCGTTGCCATCGGTGGTATCTCTGTCACCTTAATCTTTGATCGCTCACCTTTCCTGTCTGAGAAGAGGACACTCTGGTTGCCTTGGAATCAGTTTATTGTGGTGGACAAAGTAACCATGCGGAGAGTTGTATCAGACCCACCATCCTGTGATATCTCCAACTTTGTCAGCCCAAACCCTATTGTGCTTCCTTCACCGCTCACATCATTTGGAGGGTCTTGTCCAGAGAGGGGAACTATTGTTCCTGAGCTGCAGGTGAGTGCATTGGCCTTTGAAAGTATAAAATCATAGCATCTTGGGGTGCTCAACAATGCATAATGGCTAGAGTCTTTTTCCTGTACTCCTGCTAGTACTATAATGTACTGCCCTTCATTTGTCAAAAGAAGCCTTTAAGTGTAGTCTTTTTGGCACACATTTGCAAAGTGCTTGCCAGGGTGATAGGGCACTATCTGTGGCCATGGAACAAAGCAAGATGAACTAGTTGTCAAGAGAATTAAACCCCAAAACTTGACCTAATGAACACTGTGCTCTAAGGAACGAAGATAGCGGGCTCAATCGTGTTAACAGTATAATCAATAAGGTGGGACCATTTGTGCTTCTGAAATGAAAGCTCTTTAAAAAATCTAGTTTTCTTTCATTGTCAAGTTTATATCCATTGTCGTCGTTCTTAGAAGGCTTGACAATTCTTCTTTATTTAACTGTGTTTAGTGAGGGTAGTTTTCAAGGCTATGGGCTTTAATGTTTAAAGCTTTGTTTTTGAGTGTTCAAGCTTTACAATCAGAGGGACCTTGATATTTTAGGATTTCTGAAAATTTTTCTTTATTGAGCATTCAATATTTTAACTTCAATTTTAAATCATTCAAACATCCATAGTGCAATTCTCTCATTACATTATAGAAACATTTTAATGATAGTTAATATGGAAACCACCAAAATGAACTCAAGTCATACAGATCCAGAATTCAAAAAGTATACTCAAGAAGAAATAAATGGACATTCTGGGATTGAATTGGTTTTTCTTCCATCACAACATCCCCACAAACTATTAGCAGTGCCTGTAGGATACCTCTTAAGAAAGGCTCACAAAAAATAGTGCTGTATGGGACAAGGAGTCCAAAGAGTTGCCATTCCTGTCTGTTTCATTGTTTTATCTTAGAAAAAAAGTAAAAACAGGACAATATTAATGAGTAAGTACATTTGACTGGTATGCCAATCCCTTCACAGATGTCATAAGGCAGTATGGATCTCTTTCAGCACAAAAGTTTTCAAACTGATTTAAGATTGCATGTTTTCTTGAGGAAATGAAATACTAAGGTACTAAGTAGCATGCTATTTTCTTCTATTGTGCTTCTGCCACTATCTAAGAAGACACAGCACAGCCAATAGTATCAAATAGCTAATGTAGAGCAAGAAAAACTGGGCATTAAGTAGACAAAAGGGATTTGTGCCCTCAAAGAAAGGATTGGCACCCAGCCGGGATTGCTCAGTGGTTGAGCATCAACCTATGAACCAGGAGGTCAGGGTTCGATTCCCGGTTGAGGCACATGCCAAGGTTTCAGGCTGATCCCCGATGTGGGGCATGCAGGAGACAGCCGATCAATGATTCTCTCTCAACACTGATGTTTCTATCTCTCTCTCCTTCTCCCTTCCACTCTGAAATCAATAAAAAATACATATTTTTTTTAAAAAAATAAAAGAATGGCCAGAAGTGCTGGACAATGTGAGATATGTGTTTCACTATGTGTACTAGTTTGGGAAAAGGAAAGAGGGACAGGGTTCTGAGCTAAGCATGAATGAGGGCACAGAAATATCCATATTGTGCATGTCACCTTAAATGTGTTGAATAGGATAGGCTGTATTTTTAAAGTCGAAAGTCATGAAATGCAAACTTTAGTTTTAGTGACCACTTTTGGTTGTTTAACTCCATCTGTGCTAATAAACAAATAAGTCACAGCAATTCATTAAAAGTAGCCAAGCAGTATTTTCACTCTGGGACCAACATATAATATAAAAATTTCAGAGGAGCTATTGGGAGTTATTTGCTTTTCAGTCACAGGTGCCAACTTGGAAAAACTACTTCCCAGCTATTGGTATAACCAGACACAGAGAAATATGTAAGCAAAATTTGATTAAAAATTTGGCCTCAGGGTCATTCCAAAGCTCCAAAGAAGACGAATTTGATGGCATCAGTAAAGATTAATTCTAGGGAATCCATAATCTCTGTCATAAAATATCACTTGCTGGGCCTGCTTCTGGAGACCTTCCTCTTAAAGACTGTAGCCTGAATAAGGATCACAGCAATAGTTTTGTGATATATGACTTAACACACTGAACAAGATTTTGTGTATGGGTGTATATAAGAAAAAGACCACTTAATGGCACCCATGTCACTGAATTGCTTGACATTCAGCAGTGTGATCTACTACTAAGCAGTGTTTAGAAAACTGTTGAAAAACTTAAATTGTACTTTTCACAGTCATTCCTGGCAGAGAAAAAAAGAGAATAGTTCTCAGAGTTGGCTGGATGGCTTGTCTCCATGCAGAGTCAGTGCAGAATTAGAAACCTATGGACACACAGCCTCACAAAGATTCTAGAACAAGTGGCTTTACATCCACAGATCCCTTTAAGCTCTCTCCTTTTATCTGTTTCTAAGGCAACAAAGCATGCAATATTCTGACCTACCTGTGAGCACTCATCAGAACCAATTTGGCTTTCTTCTTTCAGGTTGTACAGGAGGAGATCCCCATTCCTTCCAGCTTTGTGAGGCTGAGTTACCTGAGCAGCCGCACCCCCGGATATAAAACACTGCTACGGATCCTTCTAACACATTCAACCATTCCCATGGGGATGGTTAAAGTACACCTCACAGTAGCTGTGGAGGGGCGACTCACCCACAAGTGGTTTCCTGCTGCAGCTAATCTCGTCTACACGTTTGCTTGGAACAAGACAGACATTTATGGACAGAAGGTTTGGGGACTGGCAGAGGCCTTGGGTATGTTGAAATAATTCTATGCAAATAGTAGTATGACAATCGCAAAATAGAACGTATTGGTTGCATATTAACCTGCATTTGAAATAATTACAGCCTTTCTTTTATCTAAAACAGGCGTGGGGAATCTTATTTCTGCCAAGGACCATTTGTATATTTACAACATTATTTGAGGGCCATACAAAATTATCAACTTAAAAGTCATCCTGCTATATTTGGTCAAACATTGAATTAATTCACCGCTCATGCCTTGACAGGGCCAGACCAAATGATTTTGCGGGCCTTATACGGCCCGCAGCCTGCTGTTAACCACACCTGATCTAAAGGATCTAAGGCAGCGGTTCTCAACCTGTGGGTCACAACCCCTTTGGCTGTCGAACGACCCTTTCACAGGGGTCGCCTAAGACCATCCTGCATATCAGATATTTACGTTATGATTCATAACTGTAGCAACATTACAGTTATGAAGTAGCAACGAAAATAATTTTATGGTTGGGTCACAGCATGAGGAACTGTATTTAAGGGCCAGAAGGTTGAGAACCACTGAAAGGTGTTTTTTCATTTAAACACTTCCTTCATGCCTGGTTAGAGTCCCCTTTTGATACATTCTTGCTTCAAGCAGTTTTAGTTCCCTTTTTATGATGACTACACACCAGTAGAATCACATACTCTCTGGCTTGTAACTGTCTCCAGAGCTGAGCATTACCTTCTAACTGTGACCTTTGGTGTGGCATTCTTAGGCCATGTTTTTGGATTTGACATTTAGACTGTCATTTCCACTTAGAAACGGCAAAATTTTAACTTATAGGCATCTCCACTTATTACCTTTTATGTCTAAGATGGTTAGACTCCATTAAATTGTTACTTTGGTAGGTTAAATAAAAATCATCCTACCTTCCCAGTCCTTTTGATTTTCTGTTATCTCAAGACTTTAAAACCTAGAATCTTACAGATAGCAGAGACCTTAAGAGGTCCTTTGGGCTGATAGTTTTCAGATATTTAGTTCTCACAGACAAATGACATTTTTAAAAAATGAGACTGAGAAAGATTTGCCAACTTTTTATTTTGGCAAGTAAGGCTATTTTAAAAAGGGGGAAAACACTACTATCTACTATTACCTCCTATCACCATCTATACTAATAAAAGGATAATATGCTAATTAGACCGGGAGACCTTCCGGACATCCTTATGGACAAAGCCATGGTGGTGGGGCTGAGGCAGAGGCGGTTAGGGGTGATCAAGCCAGGAGGGGAAGGCAGTTGGGGGTGATCAGGCCGGTGGGGGGGCACTTGGGGGAGAGCAGGCCAGCAGGGGGGCCAGTTGGTGGCAAACAGACCAGCAGGGGGGCAGTTGGGGGCGAGCATGCCAGTGGAGAGGCAGTTAGGGGCAAGCAGACCAGCAGGGGGGGAAATTGGGGGCAATCAGGCCAACAGGGGGGGGTGCTGTGGAGGTGAAAAGGCTGGGGCAGTTGGGGACGAGCAGGCCAGCAAGGGGGTGCAGTTGGGGGTGATCAGGCCAGCCAGGGAGGGCAGTTAAGGGCCATGAGGTCAGCCAGGGAGGGCAGTTGGGGGCCATGAGGCCACCCAGGGAGGGCAGTTGGGGGCCACGAGGCCAGCCAGGGAGGGCAGTTGGGGGCCATGAGGCCAACCGGGGAGGGCAGTTGGGGGGATCAGGTGGCAAGGGGGTTAGTTGGGGGTGAGCAGGCTGGCAGGCAGAGTGGTTAGGGGTGACCAGGCAGGCAGGTAGATGAATGGTTAGGAGCCAGCAGTCCCAGATCGTGAGAAGGATGTCGGACTGCTGGTTTAGGCCCGATCCCACAGGGCCATGAGGGATCACACAGGAATGGGGCCTAAACCGGCAGTCATACATCCCCCGAGGGTTCCCAGATTGGAGAGGGTGCAGGCCAAGCTGAGGGACAGCCACCCCTCACCCTTGTGCATGAATTTCATGCACCGGGCCACTAGTTTATAAATAAATTCAACATTTATAAATCAGTCCTAGTTGTGAATGTAACTAAATGTCTGAAGTTTTAGAAATTGTGGAAAGCAGTTGGGGGCCATGAGGCTGGCAGGGGAAGGCAGTTAGGGGCGAACGGACCAGCAGGGGAGGGCAGTTGGGGGCGATTGAGCCAGTCAGGGAGGGCAGTTGGGGGCCATGAGGCTGGTGGGGGAGGGAAGTTGGGGGCCATGAGTCTGGCAGGGGGGGCAATTGGAGGCAAGAAGGCTGGTGGGGGGCAGTTGGGGGCAAGCAGGCTGGCAGGCAGAGTGGTTAGGAGCCAGAGGTCCTGGATTGCGAGAGAGCTGTCCGACTGCCAGTTTAGACCCGATCCCACAGGGTGCAGGCTGGGCTGAGGGACATCTTCCCCCACTCCACCCCCCCCCAGGCACAAATTTCGTGCACTGGGCAACTAGTAATTTCATAGAAGAGGATACTTTAACACAAACAAAAAGAGTAGTCTGTCTTAAGAAATGACAGTAAGCAATCTAATACAGATGCTGAAAGAGAGAGAGACAGAGACAGAGACAGAGACAGAGACAGAGACAGAGACAAAGACAGAGAAACAGGCAGAGAGACAGAAAACCAATGTCTTTATTTCCCTCCCTCACTCTGTAGATGACAGTGAAAACTTCCTAAGAGACCTGACAGGTCTGTGGAACCGCAGCTGGGAGCCATTGTGCCTTCAGGCAGTATCTCCTGGAAACCACCCCTGGATAGATGAGAAGACTATTTTTAAAGTTCTCCAGAATAGATGTTTTCATATCCTCCCTTGGAAGTGTCTATCATGATACAGCTCCCATATAACTGACCTATATTTTTTAGACTACATTGTGTCAATTTCTGCTCTTTCTTTCCAGAGGAAAATATAGAGAGAGAAAACAAAAAGACTGGTGACTCTTGTTTGCCCAAGAGACCCTCATATATTGAAGTAATTAACTCATCTCTGTTGGACTATATTATCATGCAAGGAACATACTGTGTTCAGATTTCCTCAGTTGGTGGGGAATTACTGTAAAGACCCACCACCTGCCGCAGGCCCTCACCACCCCACTATCTGTGTCCATATATACCTACAAGGTCTTTGGTTGATTACCTCCCTCCCATCCACCCTTCCCCACCTTCCCTCCAAAATTCCACACTCTGTTCCATGCTTCCATGTCTCTGGATCCACTTCGTTCATCAGTATATTTTGTTAATTAGACTCCATACATGAGTGAGATCATGTGATATTTGTCTTTCTCTCACTGACTTATTTCACTTAGCATGATACTCTCCAGGTCCCTCCATGCTATCTCAAAGGGTAAGAGATTCTTCTTTTTTTCTTTTCTTTTTCCTTTTTTAATTTAATTTAATTTATTTATTTGTTTGTTTATTTATTTATTTATTTTTGCTGCATAGGTTTACCTATTCTTGATATTTCAAACAATTAGAATCATACAATATATGGTATTTTGTATCTGGCTTCTTTTACTTGGCATAATGTTTCCAAAACTTATCCGTTTCATAGCATGTATCAGTACTTTGTTCCTCCTGTGACTGAATAATATTCCATTGCATGGATATACCACCTTTTTTGTTTATCCATTTGTCAACCGATGGACATTTAGGTTGTTTCCACCTTTTGGCTCTTATGAATAGTGCTGCTATGACCATTTATGTAAAAGTATTTGTTTGAATAGCTGTTTTCAATTCTTTGGGAAATATACCTAAGTAGAATTATTGGATCATACTGTAATTCTGTTTGACTTGTTGAGGATACAACAAACTGTTTTCCACAATGTCTGCACCATTTTATCAACCTCACTTAATGCATAAAATGTATTACATCTCTTCCTTTTAAATACTCTGATGCTAAAGATTCAAAAATTTTCCTCCTGTTGTAGTTAAGTACTCTTACTCAGTTTCCAATATGTCTGTGGATGTTGAGTAAACAACTAAAACACAAAGAAAGGCAGTCTTTGTAGTATACACACAGTAATGGAGCCTCCATTCCTATTGTTTGCCTATGAGTGTTAGTTTACTTCCTATTTCTACAATTATGTTCCTGGTTTAAACTTCTTCAAACATTCTGACTTTAAAATATCCTTAATTGAAATGCTAAAATATATGTTATTGGTTCCTTTTTAAGGCCAATAAGAGTAAAAAAAGCAAGAGTCAGTTGACCCACTCAGAAAATCCAAAGGGAGAGGGGGGAGATGTTCCTCATGGTGTTTTATGTGCACCTAAGGGACACAATTTTTTAGGTAGAGAAAGAAAACTGGCAACTATCCCAAGGATAACAGCCAAAATGATTTCAAGTGTGATACCTAAAATAGAAAATGTCCTGATAACTTAATCATGATTAAAGGGGTTTTATCTACTACCCAGTGTCCATGTCCATCTCCTTGGAAACTAAGAGAATATTTTCAACAGTGGTAAAAGCATTAGAACAAGTGGTAGAATAAAGTTGGAGAATCTGCTTCTTTGAAGGTGGATTGTGAGCACCTTAAGAATTCCATAGACAAGAAATAGTTCAAGTGATAAATGGATGGAAACAAAGGGATGATGAATATTTCCACTAGCTCATACCTTCATAAATATGATTAAATCTAAACAAACAAAGAAAAACATTTAGTTGTATTTCTGGCCACATTTCATAATCACTTAGCTGATGTGAGAAGAAAGAGACTCAATTTTGCACCAGATATTAACAATTATCTATACTAATAATAGAAATATGCAAAATGTCCAGGATGCCGTCACAGTAACAGTAACGACCGAACAGCAGGCTGTGTGGGGCGACCAGGCTGACAGGGGGTTAGTGAGGGACAACCAAACAACTGAGCAGCAGGCTGCATGGGGTGACCAAGATGATAGGGGGATTAGTGAGGGACGACCAAATGACTGAAATCAGGGTATGTGGGGCAACCAGGCCAGCAGGGGGGTTAGTGAGGGACAACCAAATGACTGAACAGCAGGCTGCATGGGGTAACCAGGCCAACAGGGAGGGCAGTTGGGGGTGACCA